GGGAGGTCTGGGCCTCTTTGCTTAGGCTGCTGCCCCCGCGACCCGGCCCCGGACAAAGCGGATGAAGATGGATGGATGGAAATAAACATGATCAGATTGGGGAAACAAATTGCCTTTACAGTGGTATTACTTAGACTTCACATGAGTAAGAGGTTAATGTTATAGCGTCCCTAAAAATCTTATGATTGGTTGTTTTGAAGTAAATAAGTGTAAAAGACTGCAACTGGTTGTTTAAAAGTATAAAATGGTAAAGCCATGTGTGGTCTGTAGCATTTTCTGATAACATCACTCTGACATGACTCAGCTTGGGCCTGTGTAAATGTGTAACCCTAGACATGTGTGGGTTATTCCCCTAAACCCGCTGAGCTGAGGTTCCCAGCAGCAGTGAGAGGGAAGCCTTTGGGAAGAAAACAGAACAAAGTTCCCCATGATACATCAGTTAAATTCTTAACTGTGGAAATGAATGCACACCATTTGACACTAAAGTTGTGACGAGCATGATGAGTCAGTGTAGTGACTAAGTGATATTAGCGATACTAGATGGAGGTATGAGTGTATCCATGTAAGCTGACTCATGTCTTTTCTGTCTGGTGAGGGATGTTGAGTACCAAAAAAGGCAATGATAAACCAGAGAATGTTCACAGACTTACTATAATATATTAATAAATTAATGAATAAGTATAATATGATTTCTCTATTTAGTTCTAATTTGTGACTCTGTAAAAAACCTAATATTAAAGTACATGTAGTATTTTAGGCATAGGAGTTGTGTCATTGTTTGACTGAGAGGGCCTGGACCTTCTGTGCTTCTCCCAAGTCTTGTTATCATGGGACAAGTAATCATTTTAACTGACACACATAAAAATGTATGTTTCTTTCTTCTAAAATTTTTTCCTTAATTTCAAAGCAGGTTTAAGTTTAGGTTTTAGGGCTAGGTTTGGGACCATCACTGATGACAATTTAGACCTCAGATGGTTAACCTCTTACCATCCACAACGTCGCTGGCAACCTGTTGGTTTTGGTTTTGTTAGAGCCACATGCTCAAGAGGCAAATTTTTATAAACTACATGTTAGCTGTCATACATTTTTGCATTGAAGTTTTCATATTAAATTGGAATGCTTCAGTCAGGGCAAAAATTTATAAAAAAGCCATGGACAGCATAAAAAATAGTAGATGGTAAAGGAAATAAGTACCATAACAGGATATTAGTTAAATGGACTGGTTCTTAAATAGCGCTTTTCTACTTTGTCTGAGCACTCAAAGCGCTTTATACAACTAATTCATTCACCCAATCACACAAGCACTTCTTCTAAGCTCTTAAGTGCTAAATATCTTACATTTATACACATTCACACTCAGATGGATGCATCGGAGAGCAACATGGGGCGACCGTGGCTCAGGGGGTTGGGACCGGGCTCTCTGTCCTGGTCGTTGTGTCCTTGGGCAAGACACTTCACCTACGCCTACTGTGTTGGCCAGAGGGGCCGATGGCGCGATATGGCAGCTGTTCTGTCAGTCTGCCCCAGGCAGCTGTGGCTACAACTGTAGCTTGCCTCCACCATGTGTGAATGTGAGAGTGAATGAATAGTGGCATTGTAAAGCGCTTTGGGTGCCTTGAAAAGCGCTATATAAATCCAATCCATTATTATTAGTATCTTGCCCAAGAATTATTTGGCATTTTGCAGAGACTAGAGCAGTCTGGGATCAAACCACCGACCTTCTGGGTAGTGGTTGACCTGCTCTGCCACCTGAGCTACAGCCTTAATGTGGGTGGTTCTTGTAAAATTAAGTTACTTCATACTCCATCTTTCAGTGGACAGTACTGACAAAACCGCCTAATGTGTGAAACTGACATTGTGGATCCCAGTCTTAAGAATTCAGATAGTGTTTGGTTTTTGCTTTAAACACTTACTGCAGTATAATGAATGCAGCATCATTCAGGGGTTGACAATCTGTCCTGATGCATAAATTTCTACACCAGAACATTTTTCAAAACATTTTTAGTCTTTCGCCTAATAGCTGCCTTCTCTTTTCCCCTCAGCTCTTATGTACAGTTGTGGTTGATATCTCAGCTCGGGTTTTGACCACATCCAGCACAGATGACCAGCCCATTCTTTCTCAACGGCACTATCAGCACACCGACCAAGACACGGGCACCCAGCTGGTCTGTGATAAGTGCCCGGCTGGCACCTATGTCTCCATCCACTGCTCTCCAACTTCTGTGAGGGAATGCAGCCCCTGTCCCAAAGGCACCTTCACACGGGGAGAGAATGGAGTTCAGCAATGCCATCGCTGCAGGAGTCCTTGCCCAGCTGGCTTTATTGAGAAAACGCCTTGCACAGCCACCCAGGATCGAATCTGCACATGCCCACCCAATACATTCCTGTCAGGGGATGGTGCTGCTGTGTGCAAGCCCCACTCCTTGTGCCCCCCAGGCAAGAGGGTGAAAAAGCAGGGCAGTGAGAAAAAGGACGTGGTCTGTAAGCAGTGCTCTGAGGGAACTTTTTCAGATGTGAAATCAAGTGCAACACAGTGCAGAAATCACACAGACTGCCAGGTTCAGGGGCTGGTGCTGCTCTCACCAGGGACTAGAGAGAAAGATAATATCTGTGGACCCCTTTCTACAGCTCCATCCTCTGCCTCCACCACCGCTTCAGGTGGCTCAGGACTTGTACAGGAACCCATTATTTCTTCAATCTTTCCAGCACCCCTGGCTGGACCTGCACAAAAAGGTGAGGGATGGGAATTCTGTTTAATAATCTTCTATTTGAATTTATATAGTTTTCAACTTTAACTGTTTTTTATATTAATGTTTCTTTACATTTATAAAAGTTGACCTAATAAAAGTTGCATTTTTCAAACATTTTCCATGTGAATTTTCCTGCGAAATTTCAAAGGTGGCATTTATTGTCTCCTCCATTATTGCCTTGCCTAAAGGCCTCTTTTATGCTTGCTTACATTATCAACAGCAAACAATATTAGCTACTAATAGCTAAAAAAGTGCTAATCATAATAATAATAATAATCCTGTTAATAAAACAATAACAATAAACAGCTGGCTTGCAAGGTTCCACACACTAAATGTGACACAGTAAGCAAGGCAGAATTAGGCAGCAAGCAGCTACATGAAAGGCTAGCAAGTTATTTGATTTAGAAGGTAAGCTAAGATTAACCGTCAGTCAGAATTTTGGGGGCAAATTATTATATAATTTTGGGGGCAAATTATTATAATAATAAAATAATAATAATAATTGCTATTAAAGTTAGAATATGAAAACCAATAAGTTTATTTGTACAGTGCCTTAAAAAGCACACAAAGTGGTTTACAGGAGTTTCAATTCATTGAGGTACCTTCATTTGGCTTTCTTCTGGCTTAGGGACTAGTAAAGCGCTATATAAATGCAGGCCATTTACCATTTACCATTTAGGTAAGGTACTGCTGGTTTCCTTAAGTAATGTAGTGGGAGCATGTAGGGTGCACATATAAATTAAAGCACAAAGTAAAAGTGCTTATTCTTCTTTATGAATTATTGCTTAGAAATTCCCAAAGGGAAGGACATCTGTAGGCATGGAAAAAAAACTAGCTTTAGTTCCCTTTCCCAGTAATGGTACTGTTTGTGAAGATTAGGACTTACGGGAATTTCTCTCTTTTTTCCTCAGCAGACTTAGAAAGCAAGTAGAGTAACTGCAAGTAGAAAGCAAGAAATCGGCTCCCTTTTTTTTGTTTCTCCTCTATGTAGAAGACCAGTTCTCAATATGTCTTAAACTGCTTCTACATCAGCTGTGATTCATTCAGTACATCAGTCATTTCTCAGAATCAACCATCCAAAGTCAGTATACTCCTCCCCTGGGTCAGCCCTACCACATCTATAATACTGTCACTGCTGTTTGTGTTGGCATGGGATCGATGGCTTCACAGTCAGTTAATCTGACCTGATCTGTGCTGCAGTAGTGGGGTCGTTACATACTTGCAGTTGTTCATTTTCACCTGTCTCTTATTGTCAGTAGAAGTAAAAGGCATTCTGGGAAGAAAAGGATTGTCAACTGAATTGTAGTGGGTGTGTGTACTAAAACGTCATAGCACAGTGCTAACAGAAGTGATAAAGTACTACATCAACTAGCTATATGAGGTGTATAACAAGTTAGTGTAGAGGGTTTAATCTCCTAGCAACCAAATATATTGAAGCAACTCTGAAATCCATATATGGAGACATGAAAAGGTTATAGAGGTCTTGGAAAACAATGATCTAATACTTACAGAGGAGATAGTGATATGATTCAGGATGTAGGATCTACATAAAAGATTTAAAAAATTGAATCTGTTGCTCACTGCCAAATTCATATTTCTCATTTAGAAATTATTTGCTGATCAAACATTATAAACCCCAAAAATAGTTATTTTGAGCCCGAGTGAACATTTGGGCTCAAAAAAACTATTGATTGACAGCTACCTAACATCATCTAAATGCTCTTTTTCATCTTCATGAATATTCAGATTGTAATAACAATTTTAAAAAGGTGTACACGGCCCACTCAGTGATGAATATTAATAAACAGCTGGAAAGTCAATAAAGCGCGTTTGTGCCAACTCATAGACATTCGGTTGTAATTAAAGTTATAAGCCACCACCTAGTTTTTTTTCACCAACACTTTACCATTACGTAGCTTTAGTTAGTGTACGACGCTCACGCCATGTTATAATGATGCAGTGTGTTAGTGCCAGCCAAAATATCACACTGATTTTGAGGATTTGTCTTGCATAAACAGAAGCCAGTTGCTTCTGTGAGCAGCAGGGTGGTACTGGCTGACACACTGATAATCAATAGTGGTAAATAATGCACTGATATTGATTGATCATTGGTTTGTTCCAGTGTCCACAAAGCACTGCTCCACTTTTATGTCAAACACATTGCTAATTGTTCTACCATTTCAACAGACTGGAAGCAGTTTTTAAGTTGTTCTGTCTGACTAGTTCCCTCTCTTTTTTTGATTTAGCACTGTTCCTCCACCCAGGCTGATTACAATGTCCCTCACTTCTTAATGAACAGACTGTGGAATGAGCAATTTAGAGCTCATCTGCTTTAAGATAACAAGATGGAGCACAGCTTTATTTACAAAGCAGAAGGAGGAGAAGGATATTAGGGGAAAGTTTGTAGTTACATTTTGACGGGTGATTTACCTCTTGAGGGATGCAAACATACTGTAGTCACCCAAGTCAGTTGTGTTCACACTAAGTACGACTGAAACAATATTCAGCACCTCATCATCACTTCTGTGCAGTCCCTTTGGAAAGCTGTGCCTTTTCAGGCTTCTGTCTTGGATATTATTATTTCATTTTCTTCACTTGAAACCCACTCCTGCACCTAATGTAAGAACAAAATTAAAGAAATTTCTGTTTGTGCACCAAGCTATGCTAATTGCAGATGCTCAGATTAAGCTCTCTGGTCATTTTTTGTGTGTGTTGTGTACAGCTTCTCCTTGTTCTCCCCAAATGTGGGCATATGTATTAGAGACGGACCGATCCGATATTACGTATCGGTATCGGTCCGATACTGACGTAAATTACTGGATCGGATATCGGAGAGAAATAAAAAATGTAATCCAATCCATTAAATATCAAAAAAGCACCTCACAAAACTTGCCACACGGCGTAACTCGGCTCATAACCGTAGCACGGAGCAGTGTGCTCAAGTGATAGAGCGGCTATGTGTATTTGTAGCCTCAAACCAGCATTTCATCTCTGATGAAGTCATCCCAGAGAGAAGAAAAGCAAGTGTGTAAGTTCATCTCTGAATGTTTGTAAAGCATTCCCACGTTAAGCTTAACAACCGATATATGGAGCAACTGCCTCTTCTTGCTGCTACTTCAATCGTGAAACTGCTTAATGATCAGCTGATCGGCTTTTCTGTCGCGACTGTCTCTCTTGTTTGTTTTTGGCCCACTTTGCAGCAGAAAGAGGAAACCAGCGGCTGAACAACAGCAGCACGTTTAAGCTTGATAAGCTGTTGTTAGAATTTATTTAATATTACTTTCTAGACCAGGATCTTTTTCTACGCAGCTGACGGCTGGTAACTGTGCAGGGGCGGATCTAGCAAAGTTTAGCCAGGGGGCCGATAGGGCATGAACAGGGAAAAGGGGGCACAAAGACATGCTTTTCTTTCTTATTCTCATTTAAAATGTCTAGCTTTTAATAAATAATTATCTGAATCTTACACCCAAAGTTTTAATCTTATGTAAAATATATAGAAGTCCATTACTGTATATAGTAACTGTTAAGTCTAAGGAAAAAGTAGTATAGCTTACTAGGGTATATACCCTAGTAAGCTATACTACTTTTTCCTTTGGGAAGGTACCATCTGTGCAGTCTGCAATTCTGTTGAAGAAAGATGTTGAATCTATTTAATTATTCTTGAAAAAGAATTGATTTCTGTGCATTTTTTTTCCACACTGCATCAAATTAAAGTTGATTACGTCGATTAAGCATCATGAGGTGGAGGGTGAGGGGTGGTTCCCTATTTTTTTTGCTGGGAGTTTGCAACCCTATTAGTTAGGTTGCTTAATATTTCTGCTAAGTACTCTTTAAAATACCAGAATAGGAAGGATGGAGTAGGTTTAAGTTTATTAGATTTATCAGTATTGCTGAACTATGAAATATTTTGGGTGCAGTGTATTTTTTACATACAGGTATAACAGAATAGCTTTAGTGTTGTTGTTTATTTAAACTTGAGTATGAACTTATACAAAATGCAGCAATATATTAAAAAAACAGTTTTATTGATTAAAAAAACACACTAATATTCATATCGGTATCGGCCGATATCCAAATTTATGATTTCGGTATCGGACATAAAAAAGTGGTATCGTGCCATCTCTAATATGTATATAGATTTTGACATCTGTCAATCATTTACACTGGTCTGCAATTTCTGCAGAGTATTAGTATTAGTATGCTCAACAATGACTATAATGGCCACTGCCTGGAAAACAAAGGAGATTTTGACCCCTGTGAACATCATCTAAACACTCTTTTCGTTTTCATGAATACTCAGATTGTAATAACAATGTCAAAAAGGTGTACACAGCCCACTCAGTGATGAAGTAAGTCAACAAAGCGTGTTTGTGCCAGATTACTTGGATGGATTAAGGTGTTAGGATCCCCCGCCCATGATACCGTCTGTTTTTTTTTTTTGTCTTAGTTAGACAGAACTCCCAAGTGACTGAGTTTAATTCCCTCTTTCTCTGTGTCACTGTTGTCTCTCATCTGCTACTTCTATACTATCTACTATCTTTGCTTTCCTTGTCTTTCTTATCTCTCTTCTTGCTTGTTCTGTGTCTCCATCAACCTCTCTGCCTCTCAACACAGGTACCCACAGCCAGTCAGCAGCCATTCAGCTGAAAGAACCCCAGGGTGGAAAAAGCCAGCGAGCAGAAGAGCCCCTCCGAAGCCATCCCGGCACTCTCACCCCACCAAATTGGACTCCTGTTCTCCCAGCTCATGAGGAACCAATGGACCATGAGTTGCAGAGGGGGCAACTGAATTCTGAACCAAACCCAGGGCCTAACAAGAGGGCAATGGAAGATCTGGAGACTGAAGAAATAGTCAAGGTTGAAACAAGCATAAGAAAGATTAATGGACAAGATAGCGCAGGTGGGGCCTCCAGCTCCTACAGGCCAACTCGCAGGGGATTCCCAAGACTAAGCGCCCATAATCACTTTGACATAAACGAGCACCTGCCCTGGATGATTGTACTGCTGCTGCTGCTGGTGCTGGTGGTGATCGTAGTGTGTAGTGTGAAGCAGAGCTCTCAGGTGTTGAAGAAGGGACCAATGCAGGACCCGAGCAGCATCATGGAGAAGGCAATTCAAAAGAAACCCCCTGCACCACTAACTCAAGTCCGAGAGAAGTGGATCTACTATGCCAACGGACAAGGTAAACCTACTGGATCTTTTGGTGTTGGAAACTGCTTTTCAACTGAGGTAGAAACACAGTTAGATCTTCAGAAGAGTCTCTAAGACTTTGAAATTGCACACATTCAATTATTTTGATAACTTGGGGTTTGGTGCTGAAGTTGTGGAACATAAAAATCTATCTCTATCATTTTCTCTCAGTTCGAGGGGTTAGGGTTAGGAGTTAGGGTCATTCAGTTAAAATTCAGCGACATGGATGAATAAAGGGAGAATTAATCATTTGATGTGAATTTGGGGCTTCAAAGTTAATCTACTCCTAACCTTTAATCAAGTGACTGAAGAAACTACTAACATGACAGGGTCTTACCATGGCCATTGTGTTTTTTGTAAACTCAGCATTGTTTCTACTAAACGCTCTACATCTGCAGCTCACAGGAGGCTGCAGACTCTTAGTTACTCAGTGCATATCTCAGGCTAACGTTATAGCGTGCGTGAGTTCTGCTTGTGAACTGCGTAGATCCCCGTACCGATTCCACCTCCCCTCCACAATTTCTTATTGCCACTCTCTGTAGCTACAGATTGAGATGTAGGGTTGAATGTTTTCTACAAGTAGAAAACATTCAACCCTACAGCAAAGATCTTGATTTCACACTGACTTAGGACAAGAGACCCAGACTCAGGGAGCATATCCTGACAGAGACACTGAAGTCTCAAGTAGAAATCTGTGTATGTGTGCATGCAACCTTGTCTGTGTGTGTGTTCTTTGATCAAGCTGAGACATCCGCTACCCTCTCTCTGCTCCCTCATTGACTGACCACAGAGAACTGGAATAATCTGGTTTCAGCTGCATCAGAGTTGTTGTTTGGTTGGCAAAGAACATTAGTAGGTCAATCTGGTCTCTTACAGAGTGACAAAGAGATATATGGAGAAAAGGAAATGAAGAGGGAACGTGAGATAGTGCTGGAGTTGTGTGTGTGTTGTTTGGAGGGGCTAAGATTTGACACAGGAAGTGTTATACTGTTGCTGGCTAACCACATTGGGCTTTCCCTGCTGTTGCCTAGCAGCCCTGATACTTAAGATGCCTGTTATAGAAAGGAAAGGTAGGCAGTTAGAGAAACACAAGTACATTTTATGAAGCTATCAATTATCATTCAACTTTACAACTCCCAGCTTTACCAAAATGGTAAATGTGATTGTCTTGAGTTGAGTCAAAGCATTTTTGACTTATACAGTTACTTCTTTTTAATACTCTTGATTTTTTTAAAATATAAAAATAGGTCTTTCTTTTAGAAGTTCATACATTGAACAAATGACTAATAGCAACAGTAGACTTATTAGATATATGAGCTAACTTTACAATTGTAGCAAATCCTCTGTGCTTATTTATAGTGGGTGGACCTAAAATAACCATAACGGCAACCGCCTGGCGAAGTTGGAAACAAAATATTTAAATAAGGGCCAAAGTTTCAAAGATTGATGTAATCTCACAGGAAATCAAGATTCAGTATACTTTAAAAACTGTTTTCTATAGTTCATTATGAGTGCAGGAAGCCCCACCCAGCTGCTAACCTTGCTTTTTGGGTTTAAGCGGGAGGAGTGAAAACGCCACCTGAGTGGCTGGGAGTCCCAGTTTGATATAAATAAGGATTATTATGGGTACTATGGATCATGCAGGTCTACTTTAATGTAAAAGAAGTTAAATTATAAGCTCCTGTTTTGGAGCTTGTTTTGTCTCTGTTAAATGTGCAAATAAGCACTTAATTGCTGAAGTTTGTCATGTTAACTTTATATGGTAATAATAGTTTTGTGTTTACAGCTTGTCCTGATTCTGCCAAGTGACAAAAGAAAATGAAGAAACAAAAAAAAACCCCAGTTAATTGTGCCTCATGTTGTTTTGTTTTATTTCAAATGGGTCTAAGATCAGATTATGTTTAACAGGAAATGATCTGGACTGTGTTATCGCCATGTTTCTCATTCCTGGATCTTGTAACCAAAAACCCTACTGGTGCTTAAACCGGACAAAACAAACATTGCCTTGACATGGCAATGTGAGTACATGTTAGTGTTCTTAAAAGAATGCTGACAGATAAACAGCACCTGCTAGAATAGATTGATGTCATAATCTACAACAACAGGTGTCCCCCGAGGATACAGTTCCTAAATGCACGACTATGGGCAAATCATTTGGAAAAAAAAACTACTTGATGAAACTCATTAAACACATTAAAGTGAATAAAGTCTGGGTTTCAAATGAACCTGTTTAAATGATTCTGTGTTTTTGTGCATTATGTTTGTGTTCTCCTGATTAGATGAGTAATCCACTGCCCATGTGTATGCATTTAGGTGAAGATATATGTGTACACGTGCAACCCCCAAATAGCTACTTTTCTCTGCTTTTTACTCTCTGGAACCTTAGAACAAAACAGCTTCTTAATACTTCCAAGGTGTGTGGCTGGCTTTGCTTCAAGGTTGTAACACCCCTTTACTGGGGCCGTTAAAGCATTTGTGCAAGAAAGGGAAACGTCAAAGCACAGATCACACACATACAGTGTTTGGCATTTGGTCAGAGCTGGCAAGGAAGTAGTGAAATGTGCTACTTCTCCACAGCAGGGGTTGAATGGGGCTCTCAAGGGCTGCAGCCTAGATTTGTGTTATTGGGATCTGAGAAATATATTTATTTTCTGAAACAAAGGCCAGCAATTAAAATGAAATGAAGGTCAGTGAATATGCTGTGTTATTCCAACATCAAGTCACCTAGAAGTGTCTGAAATGACCTTTCAGATTGTGGTTTTAATTTACATAGTGATTAGCCAAGTGTGCAGAAGTCAAAAACAAGGCTTATGGTCTAACTTCTAGTACACATTCTACGCGGCAGTGTTTGTGAACACCTAAGAATATGAATGCCTGTAAGGCATAGCCCAAAGATTCATTCATTCATTGTATTAATTATTCCGTTAAGACACAAATGACAGACTGAGATCAAGGAACTAAGATCCAACCAAGAAGATACATTTTGATTAACAGTTCCATGGATTTTATGCTTGATTCCTCTCTATTTGAAATGATCTGGAAAAGAGAGGTACATAAAGACTTGGCATTTTGGCTCAGTCACAGAGTCCTAGAGATCAGTCAGTGATCCACTGGGAACCACTGATTACCAGCTTCCAATAGCTGCTCTTAGTTGCTGTGAAGTTTCTAAAACCCAGTTCATGCAGGCCTAGAGATCAGTTGGCAACTATCTGGTAACAACTGGTTAGGAAAAATGCTGATTCTGCAACTGGTTGGTGAGTGGTTGCTGGCAGTCTCTAGCATGGCATTCAGAGTTGCAATGAAAAGCAGGTTGCTGCAGTGAATAGTAGTTTGCATGGAAAACACAAATTTGTCTGCAAATACTTGCAAACTACTTGCCAAGTTGTAGTGAAAGAGTGAGAAATGTGAAAAAAAAACTAGAAATGTTAACCTCCCAAGTAAAAGCTTTGCTGTTTCACTACCACTTGGTAGAAATTTTCACTGGGCGACAGCCAGCGGCCTCCAGCCAACACTCGCCAATAGGGCTGGGGGATATATCGAGTTTTTAAATGGGACGATCGTGGCTCAAGAGTTGGCAGTTCGTCTTGAAATCGTAAGGTTGCCGGTGCGAGCCCCGGCTCCGACAATCTCGTTCATTATGTCGTTGGGCAAGACACTTGACCCGTTTCCTACTAGTGGTGATCAGTGGCGCCAGTGTCCGGCAGCCTCGTTCTGTCAGTGCGCCCCAGGGCTGTGGCTACAATGTAGCAAGCATTGTGCAGGTTAAAATGAATGAGCTCATATTAGGCAACTTAAATAAACTGCTACAACCTACTCTTTCTAGAGTCTACGCCCTCTTCCTCCATCAATGCATTTCCCAATAATTGCCACTTACATACTGAACTGCTAACTGATTTGCTGAGATGAGGGTTGTCCCACCTGTCCCTAAAAAGTTATTAAACTATTAAAATTAGGAAGGATATTAACCTGTTGTTGTGCTGGGAATAAAACCTTTACAACTGCTATTTTGTGACTTTTGAGGTTATTTTTACCAGACTTGACTGGTGATCCTGTACAAGAAGTTATGTCCCATTGGATAGTGTAACAGAATATATAATTTCAGAATATGTGGGGCCATCATGGCTCAAGAGTTGGCAGTTCGTCTTGTAATCAGAAGGTTGCCGGCTTGAGCCCCGGCTCCGACAGTCTTGGTCGTTGTGTCCGTGGGCTAGACACTTCACCCGTTTCCTATTGGTGGTGGTCAGAGGGCCCGGTGGTGCCAGTGTCCGGCAGCCTCGCCTCCAGCCAACACTCGCCAATAGGGCTGGGGGATATATCGAGTTTGTAAATGGGGCGATCGTGGCTCAAGAGTTAGCAGTTCGTCTTGAAATCGGAAGGTTGCCAGTGGGCCTCTGTCAGTGCGCCCCAGCGTAGCTGTGGCTACAATGTAGCTTGCCATCACCAGTGTGTGAATGTGTGGATGACTGAATGTGTAAAGCGCTTTGGGGTCCTTAGGGACGAGTAAAGCGCTATACAAATACAGGCCATTTGCCATTTAAATACAGTGGGGCAAAAAAGTATTTAGTCAGCCACCGATTGTGCAAGTTCCCCCACCTAAAATGATGACAGAGGTCAGTAATTTGTATGAGAGGTACACTTCAACTGTGAGAGACAGAATGTGAAAAAAAATCCATGAATCCACATGGTAGGATTTGTAAAGAATTTATTGGTAAATCAGGGTGGAAAATAAGTATTTGGTCAATAACAAAAATACAACTCAATACTTTGTAACATAACCTTTGTTGGCAATAACAGAGGTCAAACGTTTACTATAGGTCTTTACCAGGTTTGCACACACAGTAGCTGGTATTTTGGCCCATTCCTCCATGCAGATCTTCTCCAGAGCAGTGATGTTTTGGGGCTGTCGCCGAGCAACACGGACTTTCAACTCCCGCCACAGATTTTCTATGGGGTTGAGGTCTGGAGACTGGCTAGGCCACTCCAGGACTTTCA